CCGTATAAAACTAGTCAGGCAGCCCAGCTACTTTATCCTGAACATGCTGCTTATTACACTGGTTCCTTAGAAACGGGGTTGACACTCTAATCTTGCCAAAGCTGAAATATAATATGAAGCGAAGTGTTGGATATTTTTATTGTCAAACCATGTTGTGCAACAGTCTTCCAGACTCTTCAAACTATAATGCTGATCTCAATGAGCAGTGGGGCATTGTTATATGTGATATACAAATTAACTCTGAAGCAACTGTAGTCCTCACACTCACTCTAACTCTAAGGACATTGTATATGGACCTTGAATTAACATAACAAACTGCAGTCCAGTGAAGGATCTTAAAATGCAAAGATTCTTATATTAAAGGTTTCTGTGTGAATTCAGTTTTTTTTCCTCCCCTCTCTCACCATGACCAGTTTGAGCAAATTAACAGTACCATTCTTCACTTGCATTTTATTTTTGTTGCAAGAAGTCGCAGAAGTAAACCCTTTTTTAAAAAAAGGGGGAACGAGCGAAAAAACAAAGGAAGGGAGGTTAGTCGCACCGCTTGAGTGTTTGTGTCTGGACATGGCAGATTTCAGACTGCACAAGACAAGAGCCTTCTGTCGGCAGCCCATGTGAAGGCTTCTATCGAAGCCCTTTGATCAGCTGAGAAGCACAGTGCAGCCCCGTCAGCTGCATCTGTCAGGGGAGGGTGGAGGTACCATACTGCCCCCAATTAGAAAACCATTATGCAGCTGCGGCTTTTCTAGTTCAATAAGGCATTCCGTCCTGGAGATGGGATGGAAGATGTTATGTCATGGACCGGCTTCTTAATGAGTCGGGACAAAAGATTACTCAGCTAATGCAAAGGAGCCCTGCTGCAGAGATTGTTTAAAGGGAAATACTTATGATTTGTAAAAGTGGGAAGAGGACTTGTGCAACTTGAAATGTATAAATCAGTTTTTGCTGTGACAGTAGGGTACTTAGACTGTGATCCCCTGGTATGTAGCAGGATAATTATCTTGTCTTGGACATGCATTCTGCACAGATTACGAAATTTAGTTAGTAAGGAATGTGGTTTTCTGTAATAGAGGACAAAGAAAAAAAACCTCTACAAAAACTAGCCACATCTGGTTACACTCAATGTGTGAAAAGGTGCCTGCCCAAGCTCTGTGAGCACAGTGTGTACGTGTGGCTTGGGTCAAGATTCATCAAGGTGTCATGGACACTCGTAAGTGAAGCAGTGCATTTTAACATTCAGCTCAGAACCCTTGATGTGAACCTTCAGCTTTGTTTTAAGCTGAAACCTCCACAAGTTGACAATGAGTAATATAGTTTATTTCAAACATAATAAAACAAGACTTGAATATTAGAGAAGTTGCATTTTGATTGCAGCCTGTAAGCTTTAGGGTTGGGAGGTTTGCATAAGTTGTAATTAAAACTGATTGCAATCACACTTTTTATTTGTTCTTGTTTGTTCTGGACTGTGAGTAACTCTTTTAGTGCACTTCTCACTGTACTGATTGTGTTGAATTATTATTGTATCATTCGTTACACTGTGGCTGTGTTGTCTGTTCAGCTGCTGTTGCACTGCAATTTCCCTCACGGGATCAATAAAATATCTATTCTTCCTTAAGGCTTTTTCTTTATCATTGTTAGCATTTGGAGGTGTTGGCTGCATTGTTCATTTAGAAGGGCACAGACCACTTTAGCGATGAGGCCTGAGACATTGTGGGCAAGTACCATTCGATTCGATCATACTTGTATAAATGCCAGAACTCAATAAAAGGTGCTGGAACACTATGCATCCTCTGGTAGATAATGCCAAAGGATATCCTCTCAAAGAGGGTAGGTCACCTGGTAGAAAAGTCAGCAAGGGCTGAGAGAAATGAATCCAGGCCAGGACTGAGTGACCTGTCCCGGACTGTAGCTGGGATTTAAGGAACACTGCTTCAGTTTCTGAAATTACTGCCACATATGTGACAATCCCTGCTGCACTAACTGAGGTATTTACACAGCAGTAGATCTAAAACCCTGCTGAAGAACATTTATGGGGACGCCTTGAACGAAGGAGCTTTTATTACTTGTAATTTTCAAACAGCAGAAAACCCTTTTTATGTGAGGTGAAGGGGTAATTAATAAAATGGCTAATTTGACTTTCTTTGGCTTTTACTGTTATTATCCCTTTAATATGAAGTTCTGCTACTAACAATATGAATAAGCAAGACACTTGGTAGCTTTCAAATGTTTAGCAATCCTTAATCAGCCAGTTTATTGCAACAGTGCACATTTACTAATAAATGTGCAGAATGTCTTAGGATCTATGGTCATTTTGTATTCAGAGGCTTAAATTTTATGTAGTGCTTCACCTTGAATTACATCTGAGCTGTGGTAAAGCTTTTCTGTTCAAAGACACCATGCTTCCTGTTAAAGCGTTTGTGTTCTTTGAATATCTGCCAATTGCGCACACACAGTGTCAGCTTTTCTTCAGACAAAAATCCATTATTAAAGGGAGAATTTATCCATGTTGGGCTGCCAAACGTTGTTCAAAACGTCAGCTCAAGGATAATGTTTTTATAAAATGTCATAGGGTTTCCTGGGCAATCTTTTAAATCGATACACTAGCACTAAAAGTGTTGAAGTGCAGCTGATGATATTATTGTATTTGCTGCATTGCAGCTACACATCTTGATAATCTACATTCATCCTTTTTCTATAGGGCACCATTTAGATAAGGAGGGTAATAAAAAAATCTAGAAAAGAGTAGGAATTTGT